TAATTAAATATTTTAAATGTAACTTGTTCTTTGGCTCCTCCTAATGCTACCCCATCACTGTACACTGAAAGTGCTTCTTACCACTTTGGGAGGCACAGAGTTACTAATATCTATTTTCCAAAGGAGCTCCTTTATTCTCAAACAATTTATGGAGAAAAAAATGCCACAGAGAGTCAAAAACCTGGATTTGAGTCCACTGGCTATAACTGTAGTCAGCTATCTCACTCTTGATTTCTCTTGTTAAATGAGAATAACTATCCAATTGTCTTCATGCAATTGTCTGGGAGAATAAAGTGAAATAAAGTATTTGAAAATGGTTGATACACTCTTGAGTGACAGGCAGGTGGGAACTGAAATAAGATCAGATTAGCATTCTTTAGAATAATTGCAGTGTGTCAGACTCCATGGCAAGCTTCGAGGCTCCTGACACGGAAGTTCAGTTCAGTGGCTCAGTCGTGTCAGACTCTGTGACCCCATGAACCGCAGCACGCCAGGCCTCCCTGTCCATCACCAACTCCTGGAGCTTACTCAGACTCATGTCCATTGAGTCGGTGATGCCATCCAACCATCTCATCCTCTTATCATCCCCTTCTCCTCTTGCCTTCAATCTTTCCCAGCATCAGGGTCTTTTCCAATGAGTCAGTTCTTCACATTAGGTGGCCAAGGATTGGAGTTTCAGCTTCAACATCAGTCCTTCAATGAATATTCAGGACTGATTTCCTTTAGGATGGACTGATTGGATCTCCTTGCAGTCCATGGGACTCTCAACAGTCTTCTCCAGCACCACAGTTCAAAAGCATCAGTTCTTCGGCACTCAGTCGTCTTTATAGTCCAACTCTCACATCCGTACATGACTACTGGGAAAACCATAGCTTTGACTAGGTGGACCTTTGTTGGCAAAGTAATGTCTCTGCTTTTTAATATGCTGTCTAGATTGGTCATATCTTTTCTTCCAAGGAGCAAACATCTTTTAATTTCATGGCTGCAGTCACCATCTGCAGTGATTTTGGAGCCCCCCAAAAGTAAAGTCTGTCAATGTTTCCATCATTTCCCCATCTATTTGCCATTAAATGATGGGACCAGCTGCCATGATCTTAGTTTTCTGAATGTTGAGTTTTAGGCAAACTTTTTCACTCTCCTTTTTCACTTTGATCAAGAAGCTATTTAGTTCTTCTTTGATTTCTGACATAAGGATGATGTTATTTGCATATCTGAGGTTATTGATATTTATCCCAGCAATCTTGATTCCAGCTTGTGCTTCATCCAGCCCAATGTTTCTCATGATATACTCTGCATATAAGTTAAATAAGCAGAGTGGCAATATACAGTCTTGACGTGCTCCTTTCCCGATTTGGAACCAGTCTGTTGTTCCATGTCCAGTTCTAACTGTTGATTCCTGACCTGCATACAGATTTCTCAAGAGGCAGGTCTGGTATTCCCATCTCTTTCAGAATTTTCCACAGTTTGTTGCGATCCACACAGTCAAAGGCTTTGGCATAGTCAATAAAGCAGAAGTAGGTGTTTTTCTGGAACTCTCTTGCTTTTTTGATGATCCAACAGATGTTGGCAATTTGATCTCTGGTTCCTCTGCCTTTTCTCAATCCTGCTTGAACATCTGGAAGTTCATGGTTCATGTACAGTTGAAGCCTGGCTTGGAGAATTTTGAGCATTACTTTACTAGCGTGAGATGAGTGCAATTGTGCAGTAGTTGGAGCATTCTTTGGCATTGCCTTTCTTTGTGATTGGAATGAAAACTGACCTTTCCCAGCCCTGTGGCCATTGCTGAGTTTTCCAGATTTGCTGGCATGTTGAGGGCAGCACTAACATGGAAAGAAGGTCTTGAATCTGGCTTCTCTTTTCCACCCCTTAATGCCTTGCCTTGGTCCAGGTCCCCATCCTCTCTTTTGGGTCTTTGCTAGGTAGGCTATATGTTACCAGGGTCTGATCACTCATGACTTCTCTCCACTGTTCCTAGTGTTATCTCCTAAAACCAAAGTTGATTAGGTCACTTTTCTCCCCAAAGATCTTTTCTGTAGTTTCTCCTCCACCAACAAGACAAAATCTACTTCCTGGGTCTCAATTTCCATCCTGATCTGGTCTCATTTTCAATCACTAGTTCCACATATTGGGTTGGCCGAGAAGGTCATTCATGTCTTCCCATAACAGCTTGAAAAACCCAAACAGACTTTTTGCCCAGCCCAATATGTATGTCCAGTGTCTGCTTCTTTGAGTTCCTCCGCCTTCTCTGATGTGGTAGAGACCAAACTCAGCCTCTACGTCCTCAGCCTGGAAGACCTGCCTCGTCCTGCAGCTTTCTTTAACCTTTCAGACCCAGCCCTGGCGTTGACTCCTTGGTGACTTTGAACCTTCTCCGCCCCAGGAAAGTTCTTTTCCATGACCTTGTCTATTCTCACGGTGCACTGTTCTTTCTCAAAACACAGTGTTTATCGTTCTATGAGCTGTTGAAGTGCTGGGTTTAGACCATTTAGGGTAAGATAATGAGGTAGTCCACCAGTAAAGATTTGTCCATGTCCCAATCCCTGGAACTGGAGAATGTGGTTCTTTTTGGAAAAAGGGTCTTTGCAGATGTAATTAAGTTAAAGACCTTGGGATGAGACCATCTTGGATTATCTGAATGGGCCCAGTTCAGTGACAGATCCCCACACAGAAGAGAGACACAAAGAGTAGGCCATGTGAAGAAGGAGGCGGATATTGGAGTCTTGTAACTGTGAGCTGAGGAGCCCCTGGTGCCCAAGAAGCTGGGAGGAGCAGGGAGGAGTCCCCATCTAGAGCCTTCAGAGGGAGCGACATCCTCCTAACATCTCGATTTCTGACTTTCCACCTCCAGAACCATGAGGTGATAGGTTTCTGTTTTTTTAATCCACCAAGTTTATGGTAATTTGTTACAGCAGCCTTAGGGTGCTAATATAGAAGTTTATAGTACAGTGACTGGAACATAATAAAATATCATTGTCACCACCATCAAAAACATTATCATCACTGTTACTCTTGTAAGCTGGCCTGGGACATGGAAGGTAGAACGGCTCAGAAAAATGGCCTTGCCTGTGCAGGTCCAGTTTGGTGGTAGTGACAGTGGTGTGGATGGGAAGTGTGTTTAACGTGGTCTAGAAGAGAGCTTCCAAAATAGAACCCCTCTTAACTTTTTTTTGTTTTAAATGTCTCTTTGTATATTTCTGCAAAGGGTAGCAGTGGATGTTTTGAAATTGTCTTTTGGATACATTTTTACACATTTTAAATTAAATTGTCCTTTTAGAATAAGACTAATAGAAAAATGATGAGCAGCTCTAACAATAAAAATTTTTTTAATGTTTCTTTTTTCTGCTACTAAAACTGTTACTTAGTTAAAATTAATTTTCTGCTGGCCTTGGAATATAATTTAGAGAGGTACTTTAGAGCAATAAAGTAATTTATTTCATTGTGCTACATGGTATTTGAAAACCAAAAATTTCAAATAATCATGAATGAAGACTTAAGTATTATATGTCATTTGCCTGACATAATTTTTACTAAAGTTTTATAAATTGGCATCTCAATAATAAAAGCTTATTAAGTTTATTAAGCTAATAAAGTTTATTAAGCTCTTACTCTGTGCTAGGCACTGTCCCCACCTGTTTATATGAATTAACTCATTTTATTCTCACAGCTTTCCTAGTCCTTGTTCTGTTGTTTTAACTCAAGAGGAAGCTGAGGCACAGAGTGGTTAAGTAACTTGCCCAAGGTCATTATTGCTTAAGTGGCAGAGATGCCGAGTGGCCACGGCCCATAACCTCTGCACTGTCCTGACTCCCAATGGACCCTGTGGACCCTTCATTGTCTAATACAGTCTGAAGCAGAATATCAGTAAATCTAAGTAAAACACCCTTGTTCACTTCCATAGTTGTTCAGACTTGAGTGTGCTTACCCACAGAGATTCTGATTCTTGGGGCTGGGGTGTGTAGTTTTAATAAGCGCCCAAGTGCTTCTCTCCGTACTTCGAGAGACGCTGGGTCAGGTTCCAGAGAGCCCTCAGTTCATCGCCAGCAGTGGTTTGTGTGGGATGTTAGACCATCTTGGCGTGTGTTCCGGGCGAGTCTGTTGAATGCGTGCTGTGCTGCGTTCAGTCATGTCCCACTCTTTGCAACCCCGTGGACTGTAGCCCACCAGGCTCCTCTGTCCATGGGATTCTCCAGGCATGAACACTGGAATGGATTTGCCATGCCCTCCTCCAGGGGATCTTCCCAACCCAGTGATTGAATCCACGTCTCCTGCATTGTAGGTGGATCCTTTATCATCTCAGCCACTAGGGAAGCCCCAATACTGGAGTGGGTTAGCCTATCCCTTCTCCAAGGGATCTTCCCAACCCAGGAATCCAACTGGGGTCTCCTGCCTTGCAGGATTCTTTACCAGCTGAGCTATCAGGGAGGCCCATCGAATATGTACATGGATCTAAACTTATGCCTCAATGCCTGTATTACTAGGCACTTTCATTTTGTGGAGATGAATAAAAGAGGGATTTTTTTTTTTTAACCTATTGAATGAGTTTCCAAATAGGGTATATTTAATCTGAGGAAATTGTTACGATAAATAAAGGGTTTGTAGACAGAAGGAAATAACCATTATATAAAGTTTCTATCCTAATGGATTGTGGGGTTTTTTGGTGGGAGGGGGTCAGTTTGGTTTTTGTTTAAAAGAAAATTTTAATGTGCTGTGCACTTCACAGCAGAGCAACAGTTTCATGGTTTGGGTTACTCTGAATATTAACTCTGGACAAGGTGGGAGTCTTCGCTTTTAAGTTGGGAAAGAAACTTTTATGCCTTGGTACTATCAAAATCCCTGATTCTCTGTGTTTCGGAATCTAGGGAGGACACTATGCTTGCCGCTTCACCACTTTAATATCTTAGTTGGATGTTGAACTGGCGAAATATGTTTTTTTTTTCCCTCTCTTAGGGAGTCACAAATCACATTGAACCAAAAAACATCCAGCGTTTTCTTGCATTACAATGAATATTCCCATGCTGCTCCAGAGTCCTCACCAGCACTTCCTAAAAGGCCTATTGAGAACACCTTTCCGACGTTACCACTTCGTCTTTCACCCACGTCCTCACCTCAGCTCTGGAATCCCATGTGCTCAGCCGCTCAGTTCTCCTGGACTCCATTGTGCAAAGTGGATGCTGCCATCGAATGGTTTACCAAGAAAGTTGTGTCTGCAAACAGCCTTAGAGGGACACACAGAAGGACTTTCTGATAAAGAACAAAGACTTGTGGATAAGCTGTATGCTGGTTTAATCCAAGGCCAAAGGGCCTGTTTAGCGGAGGCCATAACTCTTGTAGAATCAACACACAGCAGGAAAAAGGAGTTAGCGCAGGTGCTTCTTCAGAAAGTATTAGCCCACCACAGAGAACAAGAAAAATTAAATAAAGGAAAACCACTAGCATTTCGAGTGGGTCAGTCTTTTTTTTTATTTTTCAGTACATATTTTTCAAAATTCTCTCTCTTCTTTTAAAGTAAGTCTAAATAGCTTATGATTTAAAGGGGATTTTTTTTTTTCTTGCAGAAGTTTGGAATGAATTTTAGAGGCCTTTTCTTTGCAAATACTAGTCTTGTTATGTTGGTGTGTAGGGGAAATGCCATGACCATTTGAACCAAGGCTCTGTATTTTAAGAGAATAATATGAGATTTCTATTTTGGCAGAGACCTTGCTGTGAACTTCCCTAGTGGCTCAGATGGTAAAGCATCTGCCTGCAATGCAGGAGACCCAGGTTCGATCCCTGGGTTGGGAAGATTCTCTGGAGAAGGGAATGGCAACCCACTCCAGTATTCTTGCCTGGAGAATCCATGGACAGAGGAGCCCCGAGGGCTGTGGTCTATAGGGTCTCAAAGAGTTGGACACAACTGAGTGACTAACACTTTCTTTGTCGTGACTTCCAGAGTAGGAACAGGTGTAGGAAGAAGTGTTCACCGGTTTCCTCCCTTCTCTCAGCAGAATTTCTGCTTAATAGTCTAAAGTGAATTCTTTGTGGCTGTGGTTATACCGACCATAATTATCCTTATCCCATTTCAAAATTCTGCTTTACGTGTTTCATTAGTCTTTCTCTAGGCAAATTTCACTTCTGTCAGATACTTTTATATTAGAGTTTGGAAATGGCTTGGCTCTAAGCGTAGTCATCTCAATACCCAAATGTATTTTAAAGGAGACTCCGTGTTCATATACTGTCTAAAATGTTCGCTTGACTTTGTGAACAGTTGACCTGTTTCTGTAATTGCAAATAAGCTTGTTATATTTTCCAAATTATAGATTCTAGAGCGATGTAGATGTGTTTGACCAGAAGGAATTAAGCAGATTAGTTTTGGGTAGGATGAGTGCTTTTCATGAAGGCAGACTAAGTGATTCCAACCAGCTCTCCCACTTGAAACAACTAGAAGTGGTGGACAAAGTGCAGAACGTTTTTGAGGAGTGAGTAAATGTACTTAAGAATGGATTGGCATTACATTATACTCATATCTCAGTTTATTTGCAGTATAGAGCCTAAAACCTCCTAGATTTTGGGGGTAATGGGGCCTGAATACTTTAAAGATAATTTCAAAAAGAGCTCACCAACTGCTGTTTGTACTAGTCCACATTTTTCCTACATCTTATTTTTCTGCCCTCACTGAAAGGTGTCTCTTTTTGAAGGAACTTCACTGGATGTTAATAATCATTATGTACTGTAGACAGATAAAATAGCCAACTCCCATAGAGAAATTCCAGTTATGATCAAGTGTTTACTTATTGGCTATAGAGAATCTTTGAAGAGAAAATGTCCAGAAATACCTCGAGTTAATGAGCAGCTCACACGTCGCTGTTGCTCAGTCGCTCAGTTGTGTCTGACTCTCTGCAACCCCATGGACTGTAGCACGCCAGGCTTCCCTGTCCTTCACTATCTCCTGGAGTTTGCTCAAACTCATGTCCATTGGATCAGTGATGCCATCCAACCATCTCATCCTCTGTCATCCCCTTCCTCCTCCTGCCCTCAATTTTTCCAAGTATCAGGGTCTTTTCTGATGAGTTGGCTCTGCATCAGGTGGCCAGAGTATTGGAATTTCAGCTTCAGCATCAGTCCCTCCAATGAATATTGAGGGTTGATTTCCTCTAGGATTGTCTGGTTTGATCTTGCTGTCCAAGGGACTCTCAAGAGTCTTCTCCAGCTCCACAATTTGAAAGCATCAGTTCTTCTACGGGAACCTTTGTTGGCAAAGTAATGTCTCTGCTTTTTAATACGCTGTTTGGGCTTGTTATAGCTTTTCTTCCAAGGAACAAGCGTCTGTTTTAATTTCATGGAAATTTACAGCATTCTTCTGGTTCTTCCATCTTGATCTTATGAGGCCAAGTAAACCTGGGTCTTTGTTGCAGTTGTTTTATCACCAGCATAAATTAAAGCAGCAAATGTTTATTCAGCACCCATTAAGACAGAGACCTGCCCTGAAAATTATGGTACGGAGCCAAGCATACCATATGGCATACATACTTTTGAGTGTAGTTACAATTAAGTGCTTATGTTTTATAGATTTTATTGAACACAGTTTTATATCTCTCAACACCATGTGCTGTTCTAAACATATGCAAAATTAACTCATCTAATCCTCACAATAACCTGAAGGTGCTCTTATATCCATTTTATGGCGGAGTATACTCAGCATACAAAATGATTAAGTGACTTGCCCAAGATTACACATCTCATAAGAGGCAGGGCTAGAAACAGAACTGGCCAACTGACTGCAGTTTGTGTTTTCACCTTCCATGCTCTATGCACCCTCCAAATAGGGGAATTTCTGTCTTAATGTAATTTTTCCCCCAGGATTCAGTTTATATTATCTCTTTGAGTTATGGGTGAGATGAAAAAATTATCTTTCATAAATAGAGAGTTTCTCAGTTACTGGGAATTTCTGGAGTAGAGAGTTATTTTTCAAATGGGAACATGGCATTGGGGTGGGTGGAATAAATCTTGATCATGGTGAGAGGTGGGCAGATATTGTAGAAATTGAGCACAGTGACAACATAGGAAATGAAATCGGCCCCCAAAGATCTACATTATAGTAAAAAAGCAAATCACATTTAGTAATTTTTACAAGTGAGTCTGGTGAACATATGGAACTCAGAATCATTTCCTCTGTGTATCCCTATTACTCAGGGAGTAGATAAATAGGTAGATTTTCATCTACTGCTTTAGGAAATGTTAAACTGAATTAATGGTGGTTTTAATAAATTAGGAGAAATAGAAGGTAGCCTAATATTTTAGTCTAATAAAACTTATTGTGCTGACTTCATTTATTTCATTAAATTAGAAACTCTCCACCGTAGGGTTGTCTGGGCCTCCTGGTGCTGGAAAATCAACCTTCATAGAATATTTTGGAAAAATGCTCACTGAGAGAGGACACAAATTATCTGTGCTGGCTGTGGACCCTTCTTCTTGTACCAGTGGCGGTGAGTATCACAGGTTCTTTATAAATTGCAGAGCAAGGGCTCGTGGGGCCAGCTCTCTGTTAGAGTTTAGGGGCAAACTGAACCAGATTTGAGTTTGGTCTCAGATTTGAGTTTGGTCTCAGTGAAGGTAGAGAGTTCAGGGGGCAGGGTGGAGACTGCGGGAGATGGTTCGGGTCATTGGGTTCTCCAGAGGAGGTTAGCTTCCAGGTCACCCAGGAGTAAGCTGGGTACTGAGAGAACTAGGAGAACAAGTGCCAGAGGTTGAAGATAATCAAAAGCAAATGTCAGTGCTTCGTGTGTCACACCTGGGGCTCGGCCCCTTTTCCCTCCTGTTGTCTTTTCTGCCTGCATCAACCCCTACTCACTAATTTCCTCATATTGTAACTTCTCTTAAGCTTAAAGAAAAAACTCTTCATGCTCTATCTAACCTGTCACCTTTCTACTACTAGTTCAGTTACACAGAAAGCTCTTGGAAGGACCGTGTGATATACTGTGGTTCCCCACGGCACTTAGCCTAGTACGTTGCACATGGTGCTCTGCGATTACTTACTGATTTGAGGTCATGCAGTCACTCAAAGCTTAATTTGCAGCTCATCAGAGATAAAATGGATAAACTTAGTTCCCAAAAGGATCATTTAAGGGAAACATAAAGCATGCTATATAAATACTCAGGAAAGCTTTTTCTTCCCTTCTCTTTATGATTTAAGCATCTCACGTGGCAGTTACTCATTTAACAAGTATTTTAGCACGTACAGTTGAGACCCTGGGCAAAGAAGGTGCTGTGTTGTTTAATGGTGAATAAGACACAGTCGTCTTAGCCTTGTGGAACTTTATATCTTGTGAGGAAAATAGGTGCACACAGGCCATTACAGGGTAATACGTGTTTTGAAGGGAGAAATTCAGCGTGCTTTGTGGAAGAGTTTTATATCCTGTGGATTTAATGCTAAAAAAATAAAGATATCATCATCATATTTTAGGGCTTTAGATCAGCAGAGAGGTGGATAGCAATTCCTATTACCACCCATTGAGAAATTTAGCTGATAACATTCACAGTTTTTGATTCACTATAATGAAAAGGTTAGCCATAAAATAAAATTTATACTTGCAAAGTTCAAGATTAAATCCATGTCAGTGCATTATCTCTCTTTATAGTCTAAGAACTTTGTTAAAGGTAAGTACCAGCAGGTGTAAAGTACTAAGGTGTAAAGAATTTATTTATAGTGGCCTTTATTTCCATATAGGTGCTAAGGCTTTTCTCCTCACCTTCATAAATACTCAACCGTACTTGGAATAGCAAAAGCAAACAGTAGCTTGAGATGAAAGTAGCAGAAATGGTGACATAAGATAATCTGATTGGGACTTCCCTGGTGGTCCAGTGGTGAAGGAAGACTCTGCACTTTCTTTTCCAGGGGCATGGGTTCAATCCCTGGTTGGGGAGCTAAGATCTCAAATGCTGCATAGTGCAACCAAAAAAATAAATAAATAAAAATTTTAAAATAGATGTCTTTTTTAAAAAAAAGATAGTCTAATTAAAGCTGCATAGCTATGTGGTTTTTGACTTTTCTCAAACCAAAAATGATCTCTTTTTCAGGTGAAAATATATAGACTTTGAAAGAAAAAATTACATAAAGATAAACAGGACACTCCAGTCTTAACCTTATCATTGCAACAATACATAAACATTTGAAAATAGCATTCCATTGAAGTTTGAGAAGCCTATTGTCAATCCTTATTGTGTTTTAGATTCACAGGCCCCCTGCAGTGGAAGTTTGGAGACCTCCCTAAGGGCCTGTTTGGATTTACTGACAGACAGCTATATGGGACAGTGATTTCATAAATGTTTAGTTTGGCGTGTAGGGAATCTATAGGATAATAATTTAAAGTATAGCTTTGGCAGATTGTTGACTTACACAGAGATGATTTCACTCAGAAAATTACTTTAGAACAACATTTATGTACAGTAAATATGGTAGTTGAGCTCTGTCGTAGGTATATGCTCTAGAATTAGAACCTATGAGAATTTGTAATTGGACTCATTAGGGAAAAGATCATCTCTTTAAGGAAATCCTCAGTGTTTAGCATCTGCCTTGGAAAAGTCAGCTCTTAAGCTGAAATTAAGATTCAGGTTAGCATAGCACCCACGCCCTTCAAATGTTGTTATGTGCTTAGTCGTTCAGTTGTGTCCGACTCTTTGTGACCCCATGGGCAGGAGCCCGCCAGGGTCCTCTGTCCATGGAATTCTCCAGGCCAGGATACTAGAGTCGGTTGCCATTATCTTTGCCAGGGGATTTTCCTGACCCAGGGATAAAACTTGGGAAATATTACTATGTGACTAACAAAAAGAAGATACAAGGTAGTCTCACTAGTTCTAGAGCTTTCAGTCTTCTAATTTGCAGGTACTAATGTTTGCCAAAATAACTGCAGTAAGCCCTGAAACAGCACCGGTTCTATTCCATAGGTATTGCATTAATTGCCTACCGTGAACAAGGATTAGGTGTACAAAATATGTAAGACATGATCCTACAGACAATGAACACAGGTTAGAGCAGAGTTTCTCTTTAAACGGCACTCTGTGTTGTGGGCAGTTGTTAATGACACTCTATGTTGTGGGCAGTTGTCCTGCACACTGAAGGATCTTCAGTATCCTTGGTCTCTACCTGCCAAATCCCAGGAACACCCAACCCCCCAGGTGTGACAAGTACATGTGTCTCTAGATACTGATAAACCTAGACACATCGTCAAGGAGTCAGTAAAGAAACCAGCCCAGCTGCAATGGAAGATTTGGGGCATTAGCAGAAGCTGAACTGGACAAGCAATTAGGCGGCAGTCTCAGGGTCTCCAGTGCAGGGCTGGAGAGTCTAGATTTGAACCTCTAGTCAGTGAGCCATTTGAGGGGTTGGAGACGTTAAACAGATTAATTTGGCATCATTACAATACACTTGGAAAAAAAATTTAATAGTATGAGATATAGTTTGAGGTTTGGGGAGAAATGTCCTAAAGCATTTCCCCTAAGAATTGACTGATTGATCATTGGCCCTTATAGGCATTCTATGATTGTAAAATGTAACTGTGTGTTTCAGGATCACTCTTAGGTGATAAAACCCGAATGACTGAGTTATCTAGAGATATGAAGGCATACATCAGGCCATCCCCTACTAGAGGCACTTTAGGAGGTGTGACAAGGACCACAAATGAAGCTATTCTTCTGTGCGAAGGAGGCGGATATGACATCATTCTTGTTGAAACTGTGGGTGAGTGTGCTTTCTATTTCATGAAAATAAAGTACTATTATAATGGACGTTCTGTAGAGATGAGTGACGACTAATTTCATTTTGTTCATTCAGCAGATACTTACTAAAGACATAATAAAAGCTATCTCAGATTTTGTAGGAGATATGAGTATGTAGGCTATAATCCTCTGTTGTTGTTGTTCAGTCACTAAGTTGTGTCCAGCTCTTTGCAACTCCATGGACTATAGCATGCCAGACTCCTCTCTCTTCCCCTGTCTCCCATACTTCGCTCAAACTCATGTCCATTGAGTCAGTGATGCTATCTAACCATCTCATCCTCTGCCACCTTCAGTCTTTCCCGGCATCAGGGTCTTTTCCAATAAGTCAGCTCTTCGCATCAGGTGGCTAAAGTATTAGAGATTCAGCTTCAGCATCAGTCCTTCCAATGAATATTCAGGGTTTATATCCTTTAGGATTGACTGGTTGGATCTCCTTGCTGTCCAAGGGACTCTCAAAAGTCTCCTCCAACACCATAGTTCAAAAGCATCAATTCTTTGGCGCTCAGCCTTCTGTATGGTCCAACTCTCACATCCATACAGGACTACTGGAAAAACCATAGCTTTGACTATACGGACCTTTGTCAGCAAAGTGATGTCTCTGCTTTTTAACACACTTGTCTAGGTTTGTCACAGCTTTCCTTTCAAGGAGCAAGTGTCTTTTAATATCATGGCTGCAGTTAACTATCCACAGTGATTTTGGAGCCCAAGAAAATGTCACTGCTTCCACTTTTTCCCCTATTTACCTGAAGTGATGGAACCAGATTCCATGGTCTTAGTTTTTTGATTGTTGAGTTTCAAGCCAACTTTTTCACTTTCTGCTTTCACCCTCATTAAGAGGCTCTTTAGTTCCTCTTCACTTTCTGCCACTAGAATGGTATCATCTGCATATCTGAAGTTATTGATATTTCTCCCGGCTATCTTGATTCCTGCTTGTGATTCATCCAGTCCAGCAAAGAAAAGGATAAGCCTTATGTCCAGGTAGTGATGACACGAGGTGGTATGTTTTCAGTGCCAGAGGAGAACTGTCAGCATTAGGATGACCTATGGAAACGCTGCTTTACACCCAATTTGGGAATTCCCTGGTGGTCTAGTGGCCAGGACCCAGCACTTTCACGTCCACGGCCCTGTTTCAATCGCTGGATAGGGAACTAAGATCCCACAAGCCTTGTGGCATGGCCAAAAAAAAAAACCCACCAACCAAACAAAAAACATAACACTCCATTTTCTTAAAGCAGTCCTATGTCTATAATATGTTTTCATTAAGAAAACTAATGTACTTGGGCACATCATGTTTTATTTTATCTTTATATCCCTAGGACATAGTTATACCCAGTGGATATACTGAAAAGGAAACACTGAGAACCTTGCATTCCTATGGAGAGACAGTCTGTTGTATTACTGTGTGATCAGCGTTTGTGACACAGCCTCTGTCAGGTTTAGGGGATTGGGGAAGACTTTGGGGAGGAGCTGACAGATGGACTCAGTTTTAGAGGGACAGTTAGAGTTAAGTATAGAGGGGCTGGAGGACCTTCCAGTGAGACTCAGCAGTGATTGCATGTGGCCCCAGCAGGGCACTGCAGTTTGGGAAATGGGAAGGAAGCTGCCTGAGGGCATCGAGGGGCGTCACTTTTCCTGGACCACGAGGAAGAAGTAGCTGGTGTTGGAGCCCGCGACCCTCTGGCGGCGCCTCTGCACACTGTTGAGGGATTTCTCTGGGAGAGACACAGACAGTAGGACTGATCCATGGTGGGGTTTGCAGGGCTAGTAGAAGGATGAGAAGGCAAGAAAGCTGCCGTGTTGACAGGCCTGGTCTAAGGTTAGAATCAAGTGCTCCCGCTGTTCACCCACAAAAGGGAAGCCGAGAAGGAGCATTGAGAGCGAGGAGAAAGTGCAGGTCTCCACGTTCCCTGTTCAGAGACTGAGCTGGTGGGAATGGGGGCGGGGGCGAGGTGGGGAGGAGAACAGCTTTGCTCATCAGGTGAGGCAGCAGCATTTAATACACTGTTCACAGGTGGGTGTTGAAAGTGGGATCAGGTTGAGCGCGTGATGCTGAGTGATTCATGAACTGGGATGGAAGTGATGGTCAGGGCAGTCAGGAAAGTCAGATTTTTGTGAGTGTTTTAGTAGACAGTTGTGACTTACAATTTCAGGTGTGGGGCAGTCGGAGTTTGCTGTTGCCGACATGGTTGACATGTTCATTTTACTCCTGCCGCCAGCAGGAGGAGATGAATTACAGGTAATTATTTTGACTTTTTCACCCCCCTCCCCAAAACACAAAGTATGCATCTCTGAAAGTACGAGTCCCAGTGTTGCGAGGTTTGTCAGTTAAGTTGATACTAGTGTAGGGGAGGAAATATCATTCTCTTTGGCTAAAATACCTAAGTCAGGCACAGTCTCCATGTTTTTTTTCCCGACTTGCAGTTGTAGAACTTATGACCTTGAGCTAATCATGCAACTTAGACTTTTCTACCTGTAACACGCGAGTGTGCCCATTTAGCAGTAGCTCCAGCCAAGAGACTACTGTTCATGGTTGGTTGTGCTACAGTCGGTTGAAATACTCCGCATGAGATATTCCGTTGATGTTAAACTGGGATCCCACTGATATAGTTTGTGTATGGCCTGCAGTGCATGTCTGGAACTGACTCCCTGAGTTAGCACAGCCTTCACAGGGTGGGGGCCCCAGCCTTCACAAGACTGGCTTCTCTCCAGACTGCAGCAGCAAGCCTGGGGTTCCCAGGCTCCCCATGCCTCTGACTGGCTGCGAAGGTGGGGGTTTGCACTGCCCCTTGGGTTCAGTAGTTCACTAGAAGGATTCCCAGATCTCAGGGAAGCACTAAGTTACCAGTTAGAGTTTTATTATAAAGGAGACAAATCAAGACCAGCCAGGTGAAGAGACACAGAGAGACAGGTCTGGAAGGGTCACAGCCTCGAAGATTCTGTCCTCAGGACACATTTGCCTCTTGGCACACTCGTGTGTGTCACCAGCCAGGGAGTTCTGTGCTTCAGGGCCCGTCGTTTTTGTTGGGGTTTATTATGGAGGTGTGATTGACCAAATTGCCATCCACATGACGAAACTCAATCTGCAACCCCCATCCCCAGAGGCCATCAGGCTGCTATCACGGGGCTCAAAGCCCCTGCCCCCTAATCATGTGGTTGACTTTCTGGTGCAGTTAGCCCCCATTCCGAATGATCTCTTTGCATAAATGCAGGTACCGTCCTGGGCACTCACTGTGAATAATGGAGTCCTTCCTGTCACTCAGGAGAGAGCAGGCTCTAGAGGTTACCTCCCAGGAACCTTGTTGCTGCTGTTGTTCAGTTGCTAGGTCACCTCCTGCTCTTTGTGATCCTGTGGACCGGAGCCCACCAGGCTCCTCTGTCCTCCACTAAGTTCTCTATTATACAGCACCTCACTTTCAGTTGAAAAATTCTGAAAAACTAGTGACATCAGACTCTGGTTGCTGCAGTTTAGAAACATTAGTAGAATTTAATCATTGAAAGTTATGTTTTTAAATGCTTGAAAAGGAATTTTAATCTTAGATAGCAAAATATTCATTTTCCATATAAGGTTTAGCCTTAGGATTTTTCTAGTGTTTTCATGCAATGTAATTTAAATCAAGAGATTGAGACATTTTTAGCCATCAGGTTATTTTTTCCTCAGATGCAAATAGGAAAAAAAAAAGTGCTGCATCTATTTAAGGGAAACTTCAAAGACTTTGTTTCTGGAAATGCATATGTTAGTGACAGGGTGTTTTCTTCTTTAGAAGCACCTGAACGATGATAATTTTGCTTCCTGAAGGGTGAGCTCTGGGAGAAGTGGAATCCATCATCAGACCATGTGAACTGTCTCCTGTCATTCAATCACATTGTGTCTGAATGATACATTTACTCTAATTCTGAATGTATTCCAGCATGTTAGTCTCCATGTTTGAAAGAGATATTACAAATGACTTTCATAATCCTGAGACTTGATGCTTTTGAGTAAATTCCATCAAATAATTGTGATTCCTAGTAGAAGATGCAGAGAAAAAGTTATAGTATTTGACTTTCCAAACCCTAGCATGAACTGGTGTCCCATTGTTTTCTAGCATTAAATATTTGGGATAAGTCACTTTCCTCTCTTTTTCTCATGAGGGCATCAAAAGAGGAATAGTGGAGATGGCAGATCTGGTGGCTATCACCAAATCCGACGGAGACTTGATCGTGCCAGCTCGAAGGATACAAGCAGAGTATGTGAGTGCGCTGAAATTACTGCGCAGGCGTTCAGGAGTATGGAAACCAAAGGTTAGCTTGCGTTCCGTTCTGCATTTTTCTCCCTGAGTAGACTGTGCACATCAGAAGAGAGGATGTAAGTCCCAAGCTAGACATATAATCAATCTTTGCTTGTATGTGAGATCACAGTTTTAAAAATTATGACAAAGCCAGAGCTCATAGTTATGATTTTAAGTATAGTCCGTCAACCACCAGATGTCAAAAACTGGATGTGAGGTGATAGATTAGATTGCTTAATGCTGGGCTCGCGCTGTTTGGAAGTGATGGCAAATCCATTCTGAAAAGATCCACCCTTAAGATTATGGCACAATTAATGACTTGATTATCTATATTAGAGTTTGAGTAAGAGAGAGAAGTCTTTTGATATGATATCTTTCCTTCCCATTATGTTTGTTGGGTGATGTTTTTAATAAGGAAAAAAAATCCAGTAGGAAGTGATGCAGTAATATTGATGGGGGCACTTTATCTGTAGAAGGACACCGTGTTATTAAAGAATAAGCTGTCATCGCTCTGATGAGAACGATGGTGACGTCTCTTGCCATTGGCTCCCAGAATGTTGTCTGTTTTGCTATGTCTGGAGCCGCCTTGTCTGTGTGGGCACTGATGCTCGGTTCACAGCACCTGCTGGACCAGGCAGTTTGAGGGGACAGCGCTGTGTTCTCTACTCGCTTTCATTGTACGGCACTCAGGCCGCAGGGAAACCTGCGTGGCATTGCCTGTCTCATCCCAGAGACCCTCCCACTGTTCACCTCAGTGACCTTTAAAGACCGTGCAAGCAATCCTTGGTCAAAATAAACCTCTGAGCTAAAAACTTGACCTAGAATCCGTGTCTGATTTCTGCCTTGCACTCAGTAATCTTAGTAAGTTATCTTAGTATATTTTTCAGCATATTTACTTTGACACAGTGATAAAATATCTTATTTTTGTCACATACCTCTTTCCATAGACTGTAAATATTAACTGGCAAATGCCAGAGTCCCCATGAAAGTGTTTTCTATCATTGTGAGTACAGTAATTCTGGTTCTTCCCTTTTCAACAGGTAATTCGTATTTCTGCCCGAAGTGGAGAGGGTATCACCGAAATGTGGGATAAAATGAAAGAATTCCGGGAGGTGATGCTCGTCAGTGGGGAGCTGGCCGCCAAGCGGCAGAAGCAGCAGAAGGTCTGGATGTGGAGCCTCATCCAGGAGAATGTGGTAGAGCATTTCCGGACCCACCCCGCAGTCCGGGAACAGATCCCTCTTCTGGAAGAGAGGGTTCTCAGTGGGGGCCTGTCTCCAGGACTAGCAGCAGACCTGTTGTTGAAAGCTTTTAAAAGCAGACACTAATGAAGTGCATCCTACACAGTGATTTTAATGTATCTTTGAATAAAGTATTTTAATATTAAAAGTCACCCGTGTGCTTGTCTTTCCAGCAATTCTCTTGTGGTGCCCCTCGGCCTCCTTACTTATGAACCGTGCTTTGAAAGTTGAAGCGCATTAGATACAGATGTCAAAGATCAGGTGGTCAGCAGCATTTGCAAGGAACCTGCGGTGTGTTTCTCAGCCCCACTTCTTCCTGTTCTCACACCCTGACACGGGGGCCTGTAGGACGGCGTCTTCTCAGCAGTCACAGGCAGAGACAGCTGAGGACCGAAAAAGATCATGTACCTTGAGATCCTTTCTTTGGTTCTCTGTTCTCTTGAGTTTCCAGGGAAAATGTAAGCCAGAGTGACTGCATTTTTGAAGTCTTCCTTGAAGCTCAAACAATATACACTGGGTTTCTAAGAACTGGAAATCATGTCATTTAGCATACCAGACTATCCTAGGAATTTCTGAAGTGGCCGTGTACATGAGTAGCACGGCTTTGGAATGGGTAGGGCTGTGAACACAACTTTCAAGTCTGCTTGTCTAGACTTGAGGATCCCCCGTGGCAGGTAGGGGAGCCCAAGGGACCTGGAGAAATCGGCTGCAGATAACGTGGGTCCAGTCATCCCCAGGAGTCAAAAGTGCATCGTGCAAAGGCCCAAGTGAGGCCAAAGTGATTGAAGGGTTATTCAGTTTGAATGTTAACAGAGTTTTTGCTTCTCTTCCTTCTGGGCCATTTGACTTCATATTAGCATCTTAAAAATCCACTTGATTCTTGATGATGAGGATCAAGTTTTGTCCTCTGGAAGAAGCATGGCACAGTGATTAAGACCTTGGGTTCTGGTGTTGGGAGTGGTGAGTTTAGATCCAGATCAGTTACCTACTGGCTGTGTCAGTTTGGACAAATAACCTACTTTTCTTTTTATTTATTATTATTTTTATTGGAATATAATTGCTTTACAGTGTTGTGTTAGTTTCTGCTATCAGCCATACATATACACACCTACCATTCTGAGTTTCCTCCCTGGTAAACGTGGTGGTTCGGACGGTAAAGAATCTGCCTGTAATGCAGGAGATCCAAGTTTGATGCCTGGGTTGGGAGGATCCCCTGGAGAAGGGAATGGCTACCCAGGTTAGAATTCTTCCCTGGAGAATTCTGTGGACAGAGGAGCCTGGTGTGCTGTGGTCCATGAAGCGGCAGAGCCAGACATGGCTGAGCAACCAACACACCAGACGGAATTGACATGGTAACTTCACAGGGCTGGTGAGGACAAATGAGCTGATAGGAAAGTCATTTTGCCGTCATGATGGCGCACTGGAAATGCTCAGAGTCTGCTTGATATTGTCATTCTGTTAAAGTCACAGTACATGAAGCTGTGCAGACCTTATAAGACGTTCAGTTTTTTCCCCATGATCTTATTCCTACCATCACACTCTCATGATATTTTATGATAGTCTTTAAAGTACCTGCTCTAGTTAATTCTTTGAGTATACTTTATGGTATTTGATGGTAGTTATGACTGTGTACATTTAAGTAAAATTATTTCTAGCCATAAAATGTCTCCATTATTACTATTTTAGCAAACATTGCTTTACTTTTTTTTTTTTTTTTTCCTTAAGGTTAGTGTTATTGGCATACATACCTGATATTTTAGGATTAGGAGAAAATTGAAAAGGTCACACAGTCAATTTACCTAACTTTAAAAAGGACCACTTATCAGACCACCCTGTCAGGTGAAAAACCGTTTCTAGACTCTTCCGGAGAAGGAATTCCGTGATTTCCCTTAGTAAGTAAGCTGTTACAGGGAATAGCAACCCTGCCACTCGTAGTCCAGTGGAAGCAGCACCAGGGCACAGACACACTGTTACAAACAAGACAGAGAAGGGCTGGCATTTGTTAGTCCTAAATTTTCCTGTGCCTTTATTTCTCAGCTTGAACTGCCTTTATATGTTATATATACAGCCATAAAAAGCATTGGAAAACCTTCCTTGTGTTTCTTGGGTGGTTTTTATACAATTGGCCATGATACAGAGACCAATTTCCAAGGTTCACGTTTCTGTTATTTGCTATACTAGAAGCTGTATAATATAGTAAAGTATATATATACCGTATGATACAGTAAAATATTTGTGACCTTTAAAAAGAATCCACACCTCTGATTTTAGCATGCTGGACCCCTGACCTGGTCAAAAACAGAGGTTTTGACTTAGATACCCAGAGTGAAGTCTCAGCTCTGTCACTAACCAGCTATATGATTGGAGGCAAGTTATTACTCCTCTGTACACACCAACCTCCTCATCTGTAAAATCAGGGCAAGAATAGCTAGTTTATGGGCTTAGGTGACTCGGTGGTAAAGAATCCACCTGCCAATGCAAGAGACACAGGAGACACCGGTTTGATCACTGGGTCCGGAAGATCCCCTAGAGGAGGAAATTGCAACCCACTCCAGCATTCTTGCCTGGAAAATCCCAATGGATAGAGGAGCCTGGTGGGCTACAGTCGGTGGAGTCACAAAGAGTCAGGCGTGACTGAGCAGACACATGCATAGCTACTTTATAGAGTGGCTGGAATAATTCAAATGAGATATTGTACTTAAATTGCTTGGCACTCAGTAATTAGTGTGTGCTGCATGCAGGATCGCTTCAGTCCTGTCCGATCCTATGGACTGTAGTCGCCAGGCTCCTCTGTCCATAGGATTCTCTAGGCAGGAATACTGGAGTGGGTTACTGTGCCCTCCTCCAGGGGACCCTCTCAACCCAGGGATTGAACCCTTGTCTCTTAAGTCTCCTGCATTGGCAGGTGAGTTCTTTACCATTAACACCACCTGGGAAGCCCCCAGTAATTGGTAGGTGTTGTTAGAGATGTTACAGTTGACTCTCTGTTTTACAAAACAGATTCGCATCATCTAATGTTAGTTTGGCCAAACTACTTAATCTCACTGTGCCTCAGTTAATGAATGGGATTGATAATAGTATTCACCCGGAGTTGTTGAAAGGACTGTCTTGCAACTTCCCTGGTGGTTCAATGGCTGAGACACTGCACTCCCAATGCAGGGGGCTCAGGTTTGATCCCTGGTCAGGGAACTAGATCTCTCATGCCACAATTAAGAGTTTGCATATGCAGCAATGAAGACCCGATGTGCCAGATAAATAACTATTAAAAAAGAGAAAGGACTGTGTTAGTTAATATACATACAGTACCTGGATATAATAAGTGCTAGATAAATATTTAACAATGGAGAGTTGCTGCCTGTTAGGGTTGTGAGAATTAAATGAGCTCATCTCTCTCTATCTCAAACGGATAATTCTTTTCTGGAAAAAAAATAACAAACCTGACTTCACTTTTGTCAAAAGCAAAATTATCATTAATTTCTGTAGACGAGTAAAAATGTGCTGTGTTCCAAACTGAGCTCCAAAATTGACAGACATTTTGCTAAAATGATACCAAATTTCATTAAAATGTCTGGACTTTCTTGTAGAGGCATAGCCATAGTTAACAGTGGCTGCCACAATACAACCTAGCAGGAAATTTTCTCCATAATCACTAGGCTGGCTGTTTACCTCTTTTCCTAAGCCGTTGTCACTATTACCCAGTATACGCTGGAGACAAAAGCTCATGAACAGTGAGCTTGTTTACGTAATGTTTACGTAATTCAGTCTTTAACGCAGAAAATAACAGGAAGAATCAGTGAGAACAGTTCTGACGTACTCACCCAGTAGATTGCCATCATAGAAGTCACAATGCTACTGCCAAGAATGGTCAACTGCAAGGACTTTGAGAAGCAAAGATGACTGATCCATGCAGACGGTGGAGCCCAGCTGCCCCTGGAACTTGAGAAATCCACATGAGGCTTCATAAACACAAACGCTTCCCAAGTCAGACTTTCTGAAACTCTTTATAAAGTCTAAGTCTTATCTAGGGATACATCTTGGGGTTATAGTGTGACTCATATAATGTGTTAGAATACTCACTAAATGTCACCATCGTTATTCAGGTAAGACAGACAATGATGAACAAGTGGGAATTTTCCTTGAAAAAGAACCATCAGAATGAAACTGTAGACTATTTGGTTTTCTTTCCTTCATTGTAGTATTTTGGTTACTAAATTTAACACCCATGTGACATGAATATATGTTGATAATTCTGCCCTGTGACATTTTTAGAAGTTCACTTTTTGGGGTCATCAGGGGCATGTTTGGTAATAGAGAATTGGAATGGCACAAGAGCAGTTATATAATATTGGATGCTTTTTTTTTTCCCAAGAAAAAATTCACCTTCATGATGTAAAATGTAGATGATCCTATTGTGAGTCAAAGTACATGAATATTTATTTACCTGAAAGTTTGATGCATAGAGGTAACCTGGAGGTTATTAACTTTGCTGAGGCACCTCAACTTCTTGACAGAATGAGGTGTGGACACATCCAAGTCAGTAAGCTTTTCCACTCTCAGCAAGTCCATATGCTTCATCTCAATTAATGCCACTGTTATCTAACACAGAGGCAGTCATGCAGCCTTGTCCTCAAAGCCCTGTACCATCCACCTGGCCAATCTGAGTTGTGGTGAGAATTCCACAAAAGGATGTCTTAGGATGACAGTAAAGCCATTTACTATAAGTAAGGCTCACGAAAAGCGAAAGTGTTAGTCGCTCAGTCATGTCCGACTCTTTGCAACCCCATGGACTGCAGTCCACCAGACTCCTCTGCCCATGGGATTCTCCAGGCAAGAATACTGGAGTGGGTTGCCGTTCTCTTCTCCCAGGGATCTTCCTGACCCAGGGATTGAACCTGGGACTTCTGCATTGCAGACAGATTTTTTTACCATCTGAGCCACCAGGAGAAGCCCATACTTCAGTGTCAAATTTTACATATCAAACCCAGGATGGACACCCTCTTCTTATGAGTAAAGTTGCTTTTACACCTGAATTTTGATGACTCAGGATTCCATCACATCAGGCAGGACCACAGTCCCCTCAAGTATTT